ATATATATATATATTGCAGTCCCCTCCATTAATTATCACATTGGTAGTAAAAATAATTAATGAATTAAATATATAATAAAATATAAAATTACATTCGATTATAATTATCAAAAAATAATTTTGGGATGAAAAACACTGAACTTTTTTGGATAATGCACTCAAAAATAATAAGTGTTATGAAATACCTAAAATGTTAGTTTTTTTAGGGAAATAATTATATATATTATATTAACATTTTAATTGTATAATTTATTGAATAAAATATTTAAAGTGATATTCTAAAATTAGCCAAATATATCATGTAATTAATTAGGATTCAAGTCATCTCGAGAAGTATAAATGACAATAGACAATTGGTGGACTAATTCATGTGTGGGCTGAAGATAGTTGGCTATGTTGTATGCTTCAATTCCTCAAACGAGTAATTAATTTAGAGGTTATGCCTTATCCTTTGATATCTATTAAGTGGATCACTTATTCTTTTGTTATTTTTTTATTTACAAGCGAATGTGAGGGGCACAATGAAAAAGGGTGGATCACTTATTCTTTTGTTATTTCTTTATTTACAAGCGAATGTGAGGGGCACAATGAAAAAGGGTGGATCACTTATTCTTTTGTTATTTCTTTATTTACAAGCGAATGTGAGGGGCACAATGAAAAAGGGTAGACCTCGCATACAATGGATGGGGGGGGGGGAGTAAGGCAAAGGTGACAAATACTGTCGACGGGTGGAGATGGTCACTGGAAAGGGAAATGAATGATTTTTTAAAATTTATAAAAAATAAGAACATTATTTGAATATATATATATATATATATATATATATATAGTTTTTTAAATATCATTTAAAAATTAATACGATGAAATAAATATAAAAAGATAAATTCAGAGAAAAACTTATGCTCTTAAAAGTTTCTCATAGACCGCAAATACTTTAAAGAATTCTCATACAGTATATTTTTTCTTTACGATTAATTATTTAACACCTAGCTCTTATTGAACCTATCGTCACTTTCACCTTACATTGCTTTGGCATCACCTTGCATTGCCCTTGCACAAGAAATTAGAGGTGTGAGTGTTATCGTAATCTTTGTAGATTTTATTAGCTCTCATTGAACCTATCACTCGTAGCCCTCGTACAAGGAAGGAGGGAGCACGAGAGTTGTTATCGCCTTTGTATACATCGTTGGTCCTTGTTTGACTTATCACCTGTAGCTCTCACATGAGGAATGAGGAGAGAATGAGAATCACTATTACTTCTACGGATCCCACTGGTCCCCATTGGACCAATCGCCCATAATCATCGCGTAAGAAAGGAGTTAGCGCGAAGGCTACCATTGCTTTCACAAGGCCCTGCTCATCTCCGTCAAACTCATTGTTGCGTTCGTGCCGCCTCCCTTATTCGAGGGCTACGAGCGATGAATTCATGAGGATGCGACTAAGCAGGACAAAGTCAATCGTGGGTTTAATGGAAATATAAATAAAATAGGCTTATATTTTTAAAAATATTTTCGAGTAGGAATCATTTACTGTATAAAAAATGTTTAAAATAAGAGTTTTTCCATAAATTCGCTCAATATAAAAACGAAAGCGTTGATGGTGAGTGACGTCATAATTAATTTTATAGCAGTTCCAAGAATCCGGTAAAAAACAAAAAATTGCAGCGGCGTACGCTAACTTTACACGTCTAAACCCTCGCACAAGCGTCTAACTATGCGACCACGTAATCCACCGTTCTTTTCTTTTCCTGCAATGCATCAGGGCCCTCGTTTGATGCTCTGCGTCAAATGAACGGTCGATGTGGCATTGCCGCCGAAGTGTCGGTTACAAGCGATTTGTTCGCATAAGTCATCTCTATGCAACCGCACGTACGATAATGGAGTCGCGGCGTCAAGCGACAGCCCACCAAGCGCCTCTGCCGTCTCTTCTTCTCGCCCAAATTCCAAGGGTAATTAGTGCTAGCTCGATCCGATCGCTCCTATCCAGGTACGAATCTTCGCCCCGACTCCCCGGGACCTCCTGCTCCGTTTCTAGCTCGCTCGATCTGTCGCCGTCTGCTTGAAGGTATTAGATACTCTTGCCGCTTGCTCACGCTTGCTCTAAATCTTGAACGGTTATTGCTAATTTTTGGAACCGATGATGTCATTGTTGGTGCAGTTCTAAACCCTTTCTGCTTTATGGTTGTATGATGTATTATGGCAAAAGAATAACTTTCTGCTTTTTGTATGCTTAGCTTTCTGATTAGAGTCATAGTTCTCCAGTGTGGATTCAGAATAGACAACCCCAATTGTCGTAAATAGTAATAGTCATGTTCTTTTATTTGTCGGTGATGTAGCGCTTTGTTCGGAAATGGAGCAAAAGGTGTGATTTCTGTAGATCATGAATAGAGAGTAAATGAAATGTTCTGAGACTAGCTGGGGAATTTATGATTTGACACTATAATTTTTTTGTACATGCTTCTGGAAGCTTTTTGTTTGTCTTAGATGCAAGTAAAGGAGATGGTGACGGGGGAAGCATGCCGAGCCTTATCTTTTACTGAATTTGTCTGTCAGCTGAAACATGGATTGAAGAGATAGCCGGTCAATAATACTTGGCAAAAGCTTCTGGTCGATATTGTAGAAGTGATAAGATGGAAAGAGAGTTATTGCAGTTTATCTAATGCTCAATGTTCGCACAATTGCCACAAAGAAGGGCATGCTTGGCATGGATGAAAGCTAGATATAGAAACCTTGGCTTGCAGCTTGACTTGACTACGAAGGGTAGACAATAATTATAGGAAGATGAAAGAAATTGAGGATCTATAATTGAAGACTGGGGTAACTAATTGTGCTTAGCCTGGTGGTGGTTCCTTAGTATTGTGTTGTGTTCAGCCTACTGGTTAGTAATGTTGAATTTTGCATAATTTCAGTGAGTTATAGCCATACCATAATGTTGGTACCAGGACAGTCATTTCATGTGTTAGTATTGTGTTGTGTTCAACATACTGGTTGGTAATGTTAAATTTTGCAGAATTTCAGTGAGTTAAAGCCATGCCATAATGTTGGTACCAAGACAGTCATTTCATGCCAATGGTTTTTGGACCCCACACTATCAAGTTTCTGGATATATAAAATGTTACCTTGACAAAAATTTTCCAGCATGGAGTTTGCCAGCGAAATCCAGACATTTCTATATACATTTGATTTGCGGTTGAATGTTCAAACTTATAGAGGTGTCTTCCGAAATATTTGGGACCCTAGAACTTTATCAAGAACCATCAATTCTCATGGATTCATCTTTTCCCAGCATCCGTTATATATGTTGTTGGTTCTTGTGAATCTTGGCCATGAGTGTAGATGCCAAAAAAATAAAAGATTTTTTGTTCTTCCTTGTTACAATCTATCTGCAAGTTTATTGAAGTATTGGAAGGTTGCTCCTAAGTAGCATGAGCTCAAATGGTAGTAATATTGGTTTTCTATACTCATGCAAGTAGAAACATATTGATGTTGTTCTACTTTGCCCCTGATAAAAATGTACACCAGTTTCATACAACTACTTTAGAATCGTATCTGGTTGTGAAAGTCTTCTGAACTTCTGTTCGAGTGTTTTAGTCTTAGCAGTTTTCTATAGAGCTGATTTTGTACCGGTGGATTAGATATGATGAAAATGTTTTGTGATGACTTTGATAAGCTTTTGTCATAGATTAACAACTCGAGGTTCATGTATTTCATAACCGGAAAGCATGCAGGTATGGTGCTTGGTTTGAAGTTCAACATTGTTTTCGTGGTGATTTGATAAATTTAGACCAGATATGAATATATAATTTAACTTGCTCATAGGGTTAGCATGGTTCCTGAACATGTGGTCAAAACTTTCTGTTCTATGCTTATGAAAAATGGATGTCCAATTAAAAAAGTGGCTCAAGGTGATGAACCCTGAAAAGATGTCTATTTTTAGTGCAATTTTATTTGATTTTTCACTATTATCTTTCTTTGTTTCGTAGTGAAGCTTTTTTTTTTCTCGGTTTATGGGCTCACATCCTTTTGGCATGTTGCTTGATTACTGTCGTTTAGCTGTTTTTCCTGTTTATAATCTATCTTCATATGTCCACTGAATTTTGCATATTGTTTTGACAACTAGGAGGTGCAAATACCGGGTCAATGTTGTCTCTGAAAACAGAGCTCTCAGAGTCTTGTCAATAACCTGACAGATATGAAGTGCTCATCTTATGGAGCTATTGAAGCATCTTTTGTTTCAGGCACTGTTTCAGAAGATATTGGAGGACGCAGACAGGCAATTGTCCTCTTAAAATCTTTTTAAGGCTTGATCAGGAGTAAGATATTTTTGCAGGTTTGACATCCTGCTCAGTGGTAACTTAACGACCTTGAGTATATTGCTGCAGCAATGACCTCAGACCCTCAACTATTTTCCCTTTGCCTGAATTTGCCAGAAACTGCAGTATGGGTGCATTCTGTTGCTGTCTGTGTCCGGAGGACTTTGAAGAACATGCCCACACAAGCAATCCCATATATCGACAATGCATATGCTTAAGATATTTCTTTCATCAGCTCTTGAATGGGGTAATGTCATACTCTTCAGTTTATCATAGTTCTTTAAAGAACATACCAAGATAAATCTCTCAATGCGACAGAATTAAAAAAAAAAAAAAGACTGAATCAGTGAGTGGGCTTGTTGGCCTCTCGTTTCCTAACTCAACTAGAAATGCGACAGGAAGGCCCTTTCCCACACCTCTTTCAACCACAAATGCATCAATAGTTCCCTTACTGAGCTGGCTTCTTTTTTCTGCCATCTTTTACACTTGATAAGACTCTTTCTTGAATAAGGGAAAGAAAAAAAAAAAAACCTTTCCGAGCTGGACAGGACCTATTAAGGCCCATATGAGCTGGATCAAAGCTGAGTAATGCTGAATTGGCTGCCATAAACTGTGCAGGTTCAGATATGCTCCCACAAGCTAATATGAGCCATCCCAGGGCATATGGGTTTGGCACTGATGTCATCTGGGCCTTCATAAGATGCCAAGCATGATTATTTTTGGCCAGCATTGCCCGAACAAGGTCCATGATCAACCATATATAAGTTAGGCTGTGTTTGCATCGAACTAGCTTGTTTTATGAGAGCTAGTTGCAGAGCAGGAACATAGGATAATACATGGGAGGCCATTATCTTTGTGTTTCTCCAGTAAGATGCATTCAAAAATTAGATTGGGGCATTGCACCAGGTTTAACCACCTTTCTTTAGGATAGCTGATCTGGCACATTTTCTCTTCACCCTAGTCACTAGGATGATTAAACGCTAATAGTGTTCCTATAGCTTTTGCAAAGAACTCCTAGCTGATTTCTTATTAGTTATACTTGGATCCGTACTTAAGATAAACTCTGAAGCATCCACGAAAAGATTATTGTAGTATGATGAGGACCACCATGAGAGTATAAAAACAGAGAAAAAAGTTCCAAGTAATGTTTCATATGTTGGTCAGATAGAAACAAAGTCAATTCAACTAGGACTCAACTTAGTGTCTTACTGTTATCATTGGATTTACTTCTAATAACTCCAATCTGAATGTCTGAGATTTGAGGATCGTTTTGTAGCCTCCTATTGTGTCTATATTCTTATTGTTGACATTAATTCGTAGTATTAATTGAACTGCAGTACTGTATAGACAAACCTGAACAAGTTAAGCTGGTTATATACTTTTCCATTGTATCTGTTTCATTGTCAACCTCATTGCAATCTTCAATAGATGGTCCAGTTTTAATAATTTTGGTAGTTCTACTGCTCATCTGATGGTGAGTTTATAATCAAGTTCCTTTCATCTTTTTACAGTATGGTGCAATGTTTCAAAGACTTGATGGGCGCTCAGTACCTTCCCAGATTCAGACAGCAACTTCGTCTACATCAACAACAGCTGGAAATACTTATGATAATTCATTGTGTGAGAGTCACCATCTTGTGCCTAGACCACCACCTTATGAAGCAGACCCTAGATACGCACGTGAGGGATTGATCTCAAGGCGTGAGAAGTCTATGAGCCACATACAAGAAGATTTACAGACTCTTAGAAGAAATGGTAGCAGTTCTGCTGTTGAAACCTTGGCTGCTGTTAGAAAGCGAATTGCAGAAACTGAAGCAGGACAAAAACTTACCCATGCTGAATCAGAGAAAAATCTAGCTGCAAAAACACGTGATACAGGTTTTGTTTTTACAACTTCAGAAGATGAAGATGTATGCCCTACATGTCTGGAAGGTAAATTTTATAGAAAGAAAAGCTGTGTTGTATTTAATCACTTCAAAGTCCAAACCACATTCAAATGTTTCATAATAACATGATCAACAAAGCCATTATTTTGTTTGAATTCCAAAGGTTCAATACACTTGGAATCTTTTGGTTGATTGACACTTGGAAACTAAAAGTCAGTTCTTGAATCTTTTGTTTTTCAACTATGAAATAATATCTTAACTTTAATGAGGCTAGTAGTTAATCACAAGGAAAAAGAAAACAAAGAATGGAAAAACAACTGCACCTTCCGGTGATATATATAGCAGTCATGATCTTCAAATTCATGTCAACCGTAGACAAACTAAAGTTAACTCTTTTTCTATTCTTTTTATATCTTTTGCTGCACGTTATTACGGCGTGAACTAATTAATATTGACATTATTATTCCAATAAAAGGAAACCTAAACTAATGCTCTAATTAAGGCTATAAAGTTTAGTCCGAGGACCAAACCTTGTTAATGATAGGAGAACCTTAAGTACCATGCATGTGTAACCATAACAGTTATTGTTATTACTTCGACACTGCTTTGTTATTGATGATTCTGATTTTTGTATGTGATAATCTGTTTTGCACATTTCCAATTCTGGTAATTACTTCCATGTGTTAAAAGTATCTTCTGTACCTGAGAGTCCAAAATTTATACTGGCAGCTCATGGTCATTTGAAGGACTCTAAACATAATGGCTGCTCTTTGCAGAATATTCTTCAGAAAATCCAAAAATTGTAGCAAAATGCTCTCATCATTTTCATTTGAGCTGTATATATGAATGGATGGAAAGAAGTGACAGTTGTCCAGTCTGTGGCAAGGTATCAAATGATTTCATCTTCTGTATGTTATGCTACCTTTTTGTTGGATATAGGAATTTGCTTGTTAGATTGGAGGAACAATTTAACTCAGAGTTTAAGAACTCCATATATTTCTTTTGAAGCTTCCAATATCATATATATTCCAGTGATTCATGATACCTTCAAATGTGCTCATTCCTGTGTACTTGAACTTATTTATTTATAATTAAATTATGGAGTAATGTACCTATCTTTCTGAAGACATGAGAATGCACTAAAACGCTCATCCTTATCCTCTTGATTATTGTTCCTCTGAACTACTTTTTTTCCTCTCTACTGTGTTTCATCACCAAAGAGAACCGAAGAGGAGAAGTAGGAAGTCAAAATGAAGGTTGTGGTAATGGACAAAGAAGATAATCTTGTTAATAAATGGCTGTATCAGAACTGCTTACTACACTGAGTGTCTGAGGGTACTTTCATAACGTTATTGAGGTTGTAGATGTATGATATTTGCTACTATGGAGATGAATGAGTAAAGCTGGGATTAGTGCAGCGTGTACATATGCAATTTTGCCTGCCTAGATTTAAGTCTGCTGCTTCTTTTTCTTGGCCGGTTTCAAATTGTTCTCATCATGCAAATATTTGCAGTGCTTAGTTCTTTCTAACTCTGGTTCCTTCTCTGAGCTACTTTTACAAGAGTAATTTCAATAGCCAAATATCATATGGCTAAGTTTCATAACCTAGATTATCATGCAATTTGTTCTTTGTTAATTTTGTGGGGGCATTGGTTATAAATCTCAGGAGATGGAATTTTGTGAGAGCCCGTGATAAAGACTTATTTGCGGCACAACAATTGCGGAGCAAGCCATACTTGATGAATGCTTTTAAATAGATTTCTGTCACCGCCATAAGAACTATCAACAAAATGGAAGTTTGTATCTTTCATCAAGTTGTTCACAGGAAAAATATTTATGTATCATATAAATAACGTGTGTTATGAGTTTTTTTTTCTCTCTGTTCTACTGTGTTGCATCATCTGCAATATGTCCCACAAGTCTAGTCTGTTGCATTACCAATGCATTGATGTATGTTCTTTCTAAGAAGTATGAAGTATACCGAAAGAAATACAATTACTAATAACCTTTAACTTGTGTTCAGATGTCTTGTTTGCAGGTCTTTCTGGATTATCCTTTCACTAGTTTAATTTTGTGCTTAAATAGTTGCTTTTTTTTCAAATCATATTCTGTTGGTCATTGATAGATATAATAATCCTTAAAAGAATGTTGAAGTCAAGCATGAACCAGTCAGGCCACAGATCCTGCTTATCCTCTTTGCTGCTTTAATTTCTCTTGCTGTGTTTAATTAACTTGATTCTTTAGTTTTATCTGGGAGTGCTCAATTGATATGCAATGTTGAACTGTCATCCCATTGTTCAGTTTACATATGGCTTCTTTCCCATACAGATGACTGGCTTCTCTTCTTCCGTGACTTTGGCTTCTGTGTTATTCACCTACAGTGCAAATTATAGTGTAAAAGACTTTATGCCTTGGCATGATCTTACCATCATTAAATTATCATTACATATTTAATTTTAATTTAGTTATAATTTTGATTTATATGATTATTTAATTTTAATTTGACGAAGCTGATTGGTCGATTATGAATTGTTGATGAGCTGTAATTACATGAAATTTCTTAGATTTTCGCACATGATTTGGCTTTGTGTGTTGAGTTCTTCAACCAAGGTATAAGCCAATGGCAATGTCACTTTACCTTTCTGCTGACGTGACGTGGGCTACTTAAATTGGAATTAGCTCAGTGGTGGGCGGCGGCGCTCGTAATTTTCTACAATGTGTCGTCAAATCATGACGTGGGGCACTTTTAACTGAGCATTCGCTGTTTGATCTGATGGATTTGACGGGTCAAGCCGACTTCCACCACGCTTTCCCTTTCTGAGGGGCGAATTCAAAACCCATTCCGCTCTCCTTCTCCGTCTCGCCGCGCCACCTACCCCTTGGCCAACCGCCGGCAAACGAGCCCGTACGCGGCTCCGTGATGGCCTCCCCCGTCGATCTCCCATGCGACGCCGACGGGCGTTGCATGGTCTGCGAGGCGGTGCCGCCTTCGCCGGCGGAGGTGGTGCTATGCCGCACCTGCGCCACCCCCTGGCACGCGCCTTGCCTCTCCCTGCCGCCGGCGACCCTCGCCACCGCGGTCGACTGGGAGTGCCCGGATTGCTCCTCCCCGGACGGCTCCGGCGTCGTAGCCGCCGTCCCCGACGCCTCCAGTGCCTTGATCGCGTCCATCCGGGCAATCGAGGCCGATCGATCGCTGACGGAGAAGGAGAAGGCCTGGCGGAGGCAGGAACTGGTGGGCGGCAGAGGAAGGGTTCTGGTGGAGAGAGATAAGGAGGAGGAGAAGAAAGGGAAGAAGATGAGAAATGATGATGTTCTTGGTTTCTTGGATGCGAAATTCATCTGTTCCTTTTGCATGCAGTTGCCGGATCGCCCTGTGACTGTGAGTAGAAATTTTTCTTTTCATTACTCTTTTTCCTATTCAAATTATCAGTCGATCTAGATAAAAGAGGCCTTAAATGGAGATTGATAGGCGTTCCTACTAATATCATCAAGAGGAATGCATGATAGTTGTTGTTTATGGTTTCTTACCAGTGATACGATGCTTCGCTTTCCTTCCGTCACTTGTTGTTGCTGAAGTATATTAGTAGCAGGGTAATCCTTCGGGGTAGTTTATGATATGTTACGATTACGAGGGTAATTCCTTTTGTTATTTTATGATATGATTCAGTGATTAGGTTAGATATAGTGATGTAGTCTTTTATCCAATATATTTTCGGTGATTAGTCTAGCAATTTGTTTATTATTATTTTTTTTGTAGAATTACAAGGGGATTTTGTTGTTTCCGAGTTGATTCTGCTTATGGCAAATGTTATTCAAGACATGCTTGCATCTTTTGTTATTTATAATGTGAAAGTCGTTCTTAGATATGTAATAAACTATGCAAAGTTATACGCCGATGGAGGTTCGACTTGTCGTTGGAGTTTAGGGTTGTTTGGCAAATGAAGACCGATTCATGTCTTTGATTGAATTGGTCATTTTAATGCTTCTGTTGTGATAGATCTAGTTATCATTTCCCAAATGAGATGCCTTTACCTCTGGGGTTTAGCATATCCATATATTTATTCATTTTCTGCTATCATTAACTTTGCAACATAACGATGCTCTCAAACCCCTTTTACTGTCCCTCAGTTGTATGCATCCACACACATGACTGCAGTCATTGAGTGGTTTTGCTTGTGAAAATCAATACAAATGGGAACATCTAAAGTTGCATGCGTGGCCATTTAAATGTTCAGACACTTCACTGGAAAAAAACCCACCAAATTTTGCATGGCTGCCTATAATTTAAAGGCTATGTAGTATGTACAATCATTTACGATGGCCTATTGTTTGAAAGTTCTACTTGAGCTTGCATTGTATTGATAAGCATCTTAACAGATAAGCATACATCTGTTGCTGTATGTTCTTGTGACAGGTTATTGACTCCAACTGTTGTCATAACAAGGCCCCCACAAGCTCATAGAATGTTGTTTTTTGCTAGTGCAACTGCAGTGAGCTGACTTCCAGTCCACCCTACCTGCACTGTGGCTCTCCTTTAAATACAAAGAGGAGTGCCTTCTGGCCGTTCAAGCCATGTGATTTTCCTGACCTAAGTTTTCTAGTCAGTACTTTCTCTTATGTTCTTAGCTTACTTCCTTTCCTTCTCATGCTATTCAATTTAAGTTAGGCTGTTGGGCATCAGAGGGTCCTAGCTAGATGCCTCTTTGTTGACCTCCTAAGTGTATTCCTTTTTCTTGCAAGGGCTAACCTACCACTTCAACATCTCAATCGGTTATCTCGACAGAAAAGAAAGAAAACTAATTGTCATCCTAAGTTTGGAAGGCTCCATGAAATGGTTAACCAATTTTATATGAGGATTAATCCAAGTTTATAACATTTTTTTTTATTAAATTTGTATGTTGAAAGTGGAAGAGGAAGGTTCTTTTTGGTCTCAATAATTGCTTTTGTAGAATGAGGCTAAAATCTATATGATCATCGATCATTTGTTTTTCAGAAGAGTTGATGAGCAGGATAAGTCTAGGTCGGAGCATCCATCTTCCTTGTATGGATCAAAAAAATATAACAGAAGGATGACCCCTACATCTGTAGCATGCTGCAGCAGTGAAACTTGTCGCATGCTATTGAACATTATAATCCTCAGGATGGTGTTATGCTCTTTTCTTGTGATTTGAAGTACTACCATTCACGTATGATACTGTATCTCATCATGATTATTTCCATTAGTATATAAAATGTCACCTTTTCCATTGAGAGATTTTATTAGTACTTTTTACAATTCGACTCCATTTTTTGTATCTTCTCTCAAGTGTTTTAGATTCTAACAATGCTTATCTTGTGGTCCTGAAGTTAATTTTTTTTTTCCCTTCCTTTCCCGGTTTCTGTAGACACCCTGTGGTCACAACTTCTGCTTGAAATGCTTCCAGAAGTGGGTTGGGCAGGGTAAACATAGCTGTGCAAAATGTCGAGCCCCTATCCCATCTAAAATGGCATGCGAGCCGAGAATCAATTCTGCGATTGTTGTGGCTATTCGCATGGCAAAAACAGCACAGTCAACCATCTCAAGTGATAAAAAACGAGAATATCATTCCATGTGCAATGAAAACAGGCCTGACAAAGCATTTACTACTGAACGAGCCAAAAAGGCTGGAAAAGCTAATGCTTGTAGTGGTCAAATTTTTGTTGCAGTACCTCCTGATCATTTTGGGCCAATCCTTGCAGTGCATGATCCTAAAAGGAAAAAGGGTGTTTTGGTTGGCGAAATATGGGAGGACCGACTGGAATGCAGGCAATGGGGTGCCCACTTACCCCATGTTGCAGGGATTGCAGGGCAATCGAATCAGGGTGCTCAATCCGTTGCATTATCTGGAGGCTACAAGGATGATGAAGATCATGGTGATTGGTTCCTCTACACTGGAAGGTATGAGAGAACAGTTGTCTCAATCTTGTGATTGTTCTCCTATGTTTGATTATTTAACAGTATTACCAACAAATTCTCTGTCTAGGTTATTCTATTGGCATTATTTCTTTAGGAGTAATTTTTTTTAAATTTATTTTTGACTGAATCATTTCCAAGTTATGGTTCATTCTGGCAGTGGAGGAAGGGATTTGAGTGGCAACAAGCGAACTAACAAACACCAGTCATTTGACCAGACATTTGAGAAGCTTAACAAAGCACTACAAGTTAGTTGCATAAAGGGATACCCTGTTCGAGTAGTTAGGTGAGTGGCTGCACTCTTTTGATTATAATAATTTAGGCTGCAAATTTCATTCTTGCTCATAGTGGTGTCAATTACAACTAGGTAACTTAACTTCATTATGCATGTGTTATTTGACTTTCAATTTATATTACTTCAAAAATATTAGTAAAAATCCTATAAACAAATTGATTTCTTTTACCGTAGTAACACCAAGCACTGGATATGCATTACATCACGTATATTTCATTTATTTAGCTGAAGGTTTTGTCATATACAGTTGAGGGAATCTACTTCTAGAATCACTAAATAGTTGGCTTATTGTATCAGTCGCTTCTGAAATAAGCACATAAGCTTGATGCTATATCAACTGAATTTGGAGCATTTGTCATTGATTGTATGAGTTCAAAAGGTACTTGTTTCTGCAGATCCCAGAAAGAAAAGAGATCCTCATATGCTCCAGAAACTGGGGTTCGCTATGATGGGATTTACAGGATCGAAAAATGTTGGCGCAAACTTGGGATTCAAGTACACTAACCTTGTAGCTGCTTCCCATTTTCATAGTTTTCTGTGCTCACCATGTTTCTACATTTGAGAAAGAGATTCTGTATTGGCAATAATGGTTGGAAATTTTCAGGGTTTTAAAGTTTGTAGATATCTTTTTGTCCGGTGTGACAATGAACCAGCCCCATGGACAAGGTTTACTTTTTTTTTTTCTTTTATGGTGGTTTACTCTTCTTTTTCCCTGTTCTATACTTGTTTGTGCATGTGTATACTGTCACGGATAGTGTAAGTGCCAAATACGTGTTCTTAAAATCTTTGATTAGACTAGAAAAGGGATGATCATGCTAGAATTTCTGGGGAGTAGAAAAGTTTCAAAGGAATATATTGTACTAGGAATGCCACACATGGGTTGTCATACCAACTAGGCTGACCTTTTGATGGGTGTTGCCAAATGGCTATGTCAATGGTGGAAGCTTCAATTGAAGATAGGGAACGTTTTGACGTAGCTCTTCTTCTGAATATCTTTTGAGATCTGGATTTTCATGAAGTTACTTTATTAAGATTTATCAAGTAATGATGCAGGCATTTTGCCTTTTTTTCTTGAAATAAATTCTTGAAACACCTCACCCTTTTGTTGTTAAATTGGATAAATATCAATGTTCTGAAAAGAAGTACAGCCGGTTGCAAATAGAGACCAAGTTGAGAATCACCGAACATGTTTTATGGCAATTATGTCTATTAGTTGTGATGTTGAAATAGATATGAACTAATAACTAGAATCAGTAGACAAAAGATAACTAATTTACTGCAAGAAGAACTTAGAATTAAATAAACTATGGTAAGCTTAATTTGCTAATTGAGATCTGGTTGGGGGCTATCTTCAAGACACTATGAGGATGTCTTAAATACATGTTGTAAAAAGTATGGGGAAAGAAGGTATCCTAAAGTTTTATATGTTATGTTTCTTCAGATTAACATATGCTGGCTCTAGAACTAGGCATGCACTTTTTTCAAATGTTCTATTTGCTGCTTCAATTGTTAATAATTTTTTTTTGATTTACATTGCAGTGATGAACAAGGGGACCATCCTAGACCTTTGCCTGTCATTAATGAACTAAAGCATGCCACCGATATCACAATAAGAAAGCAAAGCCCGTCTTGGGATTATGATGTACGTATAGTCTCTCTTTCTCTCTCTATATATATGTTTCTTCCCCCTTCCTCTTCTCACTGCTTTTGCATCAAGTTTAACTAGCCTCAGATACTATGTTTGGACAAAACTAATTATCTAGTTATAGTAATCCATTCTGTAAGTTTATTTAATAGAAAGCACCATCCTGTGTATCTCTATAGGGGATGTCATGCGCAATTTTAAGGATTCACATTGTTTTCAGCTATATCACTTTTAACAGTCTTCCTGGACTAACCACATATTAGTATGAAAAGATCTACTTATTGCATCATTGGTATGTCAGGCACATGTAGACATATGAGGAAACAGTTACTCGAATCTTGGGTTCGTAAATGAATGTTTAGATGGAGTGCCATTTTTGCATTTATGATTACTATTATGTGGTAGTTAAAATGTTAAAATATGAAACACCTGATCTTATTTATCTTAAGATCGGATTAAGGCCTTCTTAAAGTCTCCATCGTGCTTCTATGCATGCTTTTGTGTTTTCCATAGGAAAAACATGGTTGGAAATGGATCAAGTCTCCACCAAAGAGTCGAAAGCATGGGCCCGGTGGAAGTCCATATGAAAGGGGACGAAGGAAATCAAGCAGGACTCCTCAAAGCACATCTGTGAGGGAGAAACTCTTGAAAGGTCGATCTTCATAATTGATATATTTCCTAAGTTCAGCACGGAGTTCTATGAATTGGAAATTTTCTATTCATTTTATAGTTTGGATTTTTAATAATCCCCTCAAATATTTCTAATTCTGCAGAATTGAGCTGCCTAATTTGTTGGAAGGTGATGTCATTTCCACTCACAACCCCATGCGCCCACAACTTTTGCAAGTCATGCTTGCTTGGGTCATTCGCTGACAAGTCATTTGTGCGGGTGAGAACATGGGAAGGGGGTTGGAGCCTTCGAGCTCAAAAAATTATCAAGAAATGCCCTTCTTGTCCTAATGACATCTCTGATTTCTTACAGAATCCCCAGGTACAAGTACTCCTAGGCTTTCTAGAAGAACACTTTAAATCTGAAAGATGACAAAATATAATGTTTCACTGAATCTATTTTTTGCTCCAGGTCAACAGAGAGCTTATGGATCTAATAGAATTACTCCAAAAGAGGAAACACGAAATGAATGGTGAGGAATCAAGCAATTTAGTTGACTTGTCATCTGAAGAGGAAAATAATGACCAAGAGAAGAGGTTGAGGAATTATGGAAGTGATCTAGGGAAAAACATGGTTGAAAATGAAAGTGATGTTTTAAAAGGCAAGAAGCTTAAAGGGAAAGCTTTTGATATATGTGAGCAGCAGTATAAATCAGTAGATGGAGAGTCTGAAACTTATGCTGTCAATTGTGAGATGGATGAAATAGGTAAGACTTACTGCCTGGGTCTTAAAAACAAGATTGTTCACTGTGTCACCTACAAGCGGAGAAAAACTAGTTGTACGTTGAATGGAATACGTAAGACACGAAGCCTGGGTCTCACAAACAAGGTTGTTCACTATGTCACCTACAAGCGGAGAAAGCTTAATTGTGAGATGGATGAAATAGGTAAGACAAGCTGCCTGGGTCTGACAAACAAGGTTGTTCACTATGTCACCTACAAGCGGAGAAAGCTTCACTGTGAGATGGTTGAAATAGGTAAGACAAGCTGCCTGGGTCTGACAAACAAGGTTGTTCACCATGTCACCTACAAGCGGAGAAAAACCAATTGTGAGATGGATAAAATAGATAAGACAAGCTGCGTGGGTCTGACAAACAAGGTTGTTCACTATGTCACCTACAAGCGGAGAAATACTAATTATCAGATGGATAAAATAGATAAGACAAGCTGCTTGGGTCTGACAAACAAGGTTGTTCACTATGTCACCTACAAGCGGAGAAATACTAATTATCAGATGGATAAAATAGATAAGATAAACTGCCTGGGTCTCACAAGCAAGGTTGTCCGCTACGTCACCTACAAGCGGAGAAAAACTAATCCGGACAGCTGGAAAAAATAGCTTAAAGAAGCCAAGTAGTGATGGAAGAAAATCTTGAATAAAGAATGTCAAGAATCTGATATGGATTATTTCTGATATTCAGATTTTGGAGGGAAGGATACCAAGAGGATCGGCTTCAAGTAGACGGGAAAGATACTTAGACGGTGGAGTAATGCATAATATCTGTTGGAAACTGATTTAGAGCAAGCTATTTTGAAGAGGAAGCAAAAAGGTATGCAGTGAACTTTTTTCATCCCATAGGAATACATGAGCTTAATTTATGTTGCCTTGGCCAATTTTGGTTAACTATCCAACTTAATCAATCACATATTTTGTCATATATTACCTTGCTAGAATCTAGTAGATTAGAACCGATTGATACCTAGAATCTAGTAGATTAGAACCGATTGAGACATTTGATATATTCTTGTTTACCATGCAAATGTTATGGCGTGATGGAAGACAAGCTTTTTCTTTTTGCAAGATTTATCGAGTTGCTTTCGTCCCATGCTTCTTTTTTGCTGTGCATTAAACAACTTACGTAGCATCATTCGAGCAGGAGAAACAGATCAATTTAAATATCTTCCTATAACGTGTCATCCATTTCTCAACATTGATCATCCTAGTATCATATGATACCAGCTATGGCTGTGGCCAATAATTGTTTCCTGTGGTAAGCTAGTGGACTTGGGGTGTTCAAGAATCTCTACCCTCTCTTTATGCCCAATAATTTCACTGCCTTTATTATTACAAAGCATGTCATCCATTTTCAAGTTCTTTTTCCTGCTTTTGTTCCCGTTCTCAAACTTTTGTTCGTTCCACTGGTGCTAATCTCCAGGAAAACAAGCTTTTGTACGAGAGCCCTTTTTACATACGCACGCCAAATAGTTCATCTAGCGACTAAACGGTGCGTCCCGCACTGGCCTGAGGTCCATTTCGATCGGGGCCGACAGGCGGCCATGATTCGCTCTTCGGTGCAATTACTGGCGACGCCAATGATTCCCTCTCGCCGGGATAAGGGATCGTACGCCCACCATCCTCGAGATTCGGGCTGTCGCCGAGATGTGCGATGGTGGGTGACGATGGAGTCGCGGCGCTATTAGTCGGAGCAAGGGAAGGAGCCCGAGGACTTTAAAGTAAAAAGAAAACGAGGAACGGCCCCTGAAACTGCCTCCGAGGTGCGGACGACAGACAGTCGTGAAGGAGATACGGGCTTTGGGGCCCGAGGGCTGTTGCTGAGATGCGCGTCGGTGGGTCCCGATGGAGTCGCGTCGCAGTAAAAGACGAGAGTAGGGCATACGGGAACTGCGCCCGGCCGGGCGTCCAGCGCGGTGACGTGTAGTATTATGGAGATACGTGGTGTGGGACCCGGGCTGTCGCTGAGACGTTGGATGGAGGGTAACGATTGGGGTCGCCACGTTCGAGCAAGAGAGAGGCACGATGCGGCCGTACGCATTCATGGAGATACGTGCCGTGGGCCCCGCGCACCGTCGCCAGACCTTGTCGCGGCGTGGGAGCCACGAGAACGGCATCTCTCCTTTTCTTGCTGCCGCCGCTGCTGCGTGCATGACCGCCGTGCAAACTGTCGGGTCCAGTTTTCCTGGGTGCGTCTTTTCTACTGCAACAGATAGCAACCTCGGGGATACGCTCACCGCCTCCGGTCGTTGACCCATCTCTCTCCCCCTTCTTTGAAGTAGTATCTAATATATAATATATCTACGATATCTTATTTATTGATACATTCAAATCGATCACCCATTATTACAATACTGATAGATCTTATGATACCTCTGATTTATTAGGAAAATTTTTGATGAATAATTGATATTATTTACCATAAATTATTACTATTTTGAATTATTGGTAGCCATCCACATGAACGTAAACCAAAGAATATGTGGTCTAATGTATAACGTGTTGTAGCATTCATGACATGTTGGGCCATATAAAAGAATTAAGATTTATGGGAATAATATCCAACAGTTTTAATATTCAATAAGGAATATGGGAATATATAATTTTATGGAAATAAATATGTAATTCTCAAACTGACAAACGGATATGTGTTTAGGTGTCCCACCGAATCGAACCATTCGTTAGTCTCACCGGCGGGTGACCCACCTCGATATCTAATTCCGTAAATAATTAGCGCTCTAAAAATCCCTTCACTAATATTTATTATTTTCAAACACCAAAAGGACTGCTCGCCTTCTCTTTTTATTCTTTTTCAAATTTCTAACAGCTTTTTTCCCTTCCTCTCTTTTCTGTTCTTTTCTTTTTTTTTTTCCCTTCGATCGAGTACCCCTCGCTTCTCTAATCCCCTCCTCGCTCGCCCAACCTCCCGATTTCTTGTGCGTTCTACTGCATTGCAATCCGCACGCAGAAGAGCGCCGTCGTGGGTGGGGACTCACCGGCGTACGCGTCTGGGGATGATCGGAGATGCGATTTCTGGATGGACCTCGGAAAATCTTGTGTAACCGCCACGGATGGGTTCTTGACAACGTGGAAGCTCGATCTTGGATGGTTATCCGTGTCTTGAGGGGATCGTGGGGTGAAAGGAGTGGGAGCTTATGAGGGTTTGGGTCTGCGAGGAGGGAAAGATCGCGGCGGCACCATGTATTTCACCAAGCTCGACGATTCTCCGATGTTTCGGAAGCAGGTGCGGTTCATTTTGTGGTGCCGGTCGCTTTAGGGAAATGGTTCCACCTTGTCCCAGAATATCCGTGATTTAGTTGGAATTTTATGCTCGGTAGATGTTATATTTGCAGCTGGTCTCGTTGTCGGAGCGTAAATAAGCGGTTTCGTGGAAATTTTAGGTTAGATTTGCACCATTGCGACTTAGGTCATGTATCGACGTGTTTGCAGTATATTTGGTATGATCTATCGTATGTTACCATGTCACTCATGAGACATTGAAACCGCATGTTGTTCTATGGTGCTGATTCTGGCGAGGAAAACACAACATCCTTTCTGGAAAAGATGCACCTGTTCGTTTCATCTGGGGCAGAATAGTGCTGTTTGTGGTTTCTCGACAGCACTACTTTTCTTTTATATCTTTTTTTTTGCATTCAAATAATATTAAATATATATCTCACAAAGTAAATCAGATTCTGTAATCTGCATTCTGCAATTCTTAAATTCATGTAGGGTAAAAACTTTCTGGGTTTAATGTGAAGTGTTTTAGTTGTTTACTATGTAGCGAACCTCATGATCTTGTGTACATCGTGTTCTCTGATGCATCTAGGTCAAGTTTAGGGTTAGCTAATGGCTAACTTAATTCTATTCTTGATCGAGTTTTATAAGTTCAGTTCTATATGCTGTTTTGGAGGTCAAATAGGGTTAAATTTTGGTATCTTGGAAGTTTAAATTGTTTCCAAAATAAAGGGGCCTATATGCTTTTAATTAATTTAATAAAGGGGCCTATATACTCCTAATCCTATCCTTGATTGGATGCTCTTAGTCCATAAGCAAAAGAGTCTAAAGCGGGTCTTCAAACATAGTACCGAGTCTTCTTATTTTATCTCATATGATAACCTGGGTTTATTCAAGTAAGGATATTGTAAGTATCTGCTTATGGAGGTTGTACGATTGTCATAAGAAGATTATACACCAATTTATATAGAAAACTGAGAAGTTCATCCTTGGTTGGAACTTGGAAGCATTCATCTGTTATCTTCTTTCCCTGATTTTCAAAAAATATTTTCTATGGGTGGGATTGTCAGGAAGCTGATCATCATTTTGTTTTGGATAGAATAACTCTTAAACTGATTACTTTGGGCAATTTCCTGCTTGATCTGACCTGAAAGCTTGGCTATGTCATCTTCAGATTTGCAAAGTCATGCATCAATTCCATATAATTACATGCTCAAGATTGTATTTAACCTTCTTGCCTGCATTATTTTGCTGGTGGTGCTACAGAATCAAACATGTTTGTAGAAATATTGTTGTACTTTACAAATAAGAATATTATTCTTAAATGTATCATTCTTTTGTAGTTGGCTTTAAATATGCATTAACATTCATTATTCAATCATTGAACATTAACTGGAAACCATAGACCTCATTAGCTTGTCAAGTTTGAACAAATCCATAGAGTAGATACTGTCAGAGATGTAAATATTTCTTTGGGCATTTCTGCTGTGTTATAAATATCAGAATCCACTTGTGATTTGTCTGTATGGTAGGGAACAAAATACATGGCAATATCTAACGGATGAAGTGGCTGAAACACCTTTCAGACACTTGCATCAGAGGCACAAGCCTTTGGAACAATTTAATTGCCAACCTATGCCAAAATTAATGGATCATTAGCTTGACATATATGGTGACAGTTGAAGAACTGAATATCAAATAATATGTTATTCTAGGGTACCATTACTGCCCCATGGTATATGACCTTGTTTGATTGTGGACTGATAGGTACACCTGGTACATATCCAGACAACCTTTCTTGGTTGCAGGTCTTAGATGTGAGGAGGAAGCTTTTGGTTGTTTTTTCTCAAAACTTAACAAAGGATTTGCTTGTGCTCCACTAAGATTGAAAAGCTATATCAAAACATAGATTCAAGCAACAAGTATGAATCATAAAGCAACGACACATAGATTTAATAAATTTGATGATCAATAGTGAGGTCAATAAGTTACTAATTACCAAATGGAAGGGTATCAAACAGAAAATGATGAAGGTTAGCATGTGCAATTCGGAGTGAGAGTGGAAATAATGCTTTGCAGTCTTCCCTTCAGTTCAAATGGCTCATTTCTGTTTCATTTGTTCGGTCTATGTCTAGAAGGGTCTTTTTTGGTTTATTTCCTTGCTTTGGAAGTTATTAGCACATGCAATAAAAAAATTATTGAAAAGAAAGATGTAAGTCTGACTGCAGATAAAGGAAGAGAAAAAGAAGATGTTTTCTTGATTGTCCTGACTAGATCAAGCATTGTACTGTGCTTCTAAAAAAACCTAGCCATGTCCATGCAATAGACTCTCATCTGGTCTTTTCCTTGGTGAATAAAGGAGGTCGGTGAAATACCATGCACATGCCATTTTAAGATGAGTAGGTCAATGTACCTGCCTCATTTTTCTCAGTAAATTTTTTTCATGATCATCTTAATAAGTTGAAGCACTCATTGCTTGGTAATGATGGTTTGCACCCTAAAAAGTAACCAAACTTGGATATCTTAAAACGAAATCAGCAAATCCGAAGTTCAAAAGTTCTGAGATTATAAGCTAGTTAAAACTACAATCTGGACTTTACAATGATGATTATGGTTTTGCAAAATTACTGCACTGGTGCAGGCTTCCTACAATGATTCTTAGGACCTACAACACTATTTACATTTTGTGAACACTATTCGATCTCATTTAATCTCAAACAGAGACTTGGTTTGTTACTGAACGAGGCTTTTAACTGCATCATTTTTATGGCAAAACCTGTCGGTGGTAATTTGGAAAACAGGTGAAAGAAAAGGAAATGATAAATCATGATTTCATCTTCTGTTATCAATGCCTCTGATTCCCCTGATGGTGTTATTTAGTTTTGGACAACTGGATCCCTTTATATTATTCACAAATTTGAATAGCAATGAAACAACAAGGCACCTTTTGCTGTTTTGCCTTCTGATTTTCTCTGAGTTAGATTGTGCTAGTCCTCAAGTGGAACCTAATACCATCGGAGCTCATGTTTGGCTTTCCAGCCCTTTCTTATGCAATTGTATTCTTTACATGCACAGTTCTACTGAAATACCCGAAGCTTCACTGCAGTTTCATCTTTCAATTTTTTATTTGTTCCATCTCTCATATCTATACTATACTGGATGCTGTTCTTGGGAAGAGCAAGGGACACTAGATTAGCTGTCTTGCTATCTACTCTTCTCACTTTTTCTGTTTTCTC